TGCTGCTTAATAGTTGATGTTGCTCACTACAGGGAAAGGAACACTGATTTTTCTTGTGCTGCACACCGTACATTATAAGAAATGCTAGCAGCACAGATCATTTGAGAATGATTATGCTCGTTTAATAACATTTTGCTTTAAGAAGCTTAAATGACTTTTTTATGAGTACAATAATGATCTGTATTTGAAATGTATAAATATCCTTTAAAGGTATTTTGTGATGTTGCTTGGCAATTGTTTTCCCATCTTGGGAATTTTTTGACCTAATTGTGTCACACTGGCTGACAGCTAAATGCTGTCACAACATGAAATATATGAATCAACGCATAATTATGTTTTCTTCCCTGAGTAAAACTAAGATATAGTTTTTGTTTGTTTGGTATTTTATAAATAGCACTGAAATATCTGCCAACTCATTCAAAGAGTACTGTTTCTTCAACAAAACAGTTAGAACTTATCACTCATGGACAAACGAAGACTAGGATTTTCAGAGGAATTTGCGAAGACAATTGCACCTATAATTGTATATCAGTAATATCACGGTATTAAATCCCTTGGGTTGCTTGACAGTGCTAGTGAATGTGTTTATCACACACCAAATCAGGAACAGATCCTACGCTTTCCAGTTGCCTTGCTCCTGTAATCAGATGCCCTACACAGAGAATTTCCACCAATCATAGTGACATAACTAAGCAAGCCCGTCTATGTGAATATACTTATTCTGATGTATGCTTTTTTGTTCTGGCCTTAGTGAAAAAATTTATTTAAACTCTAAGCCAAGGACCTTTGTTTTTTAATTTAGGACACAGCCAGAATACCACAGGAAATAGAACACAGTATAATTTCGGAAAATACCTAGATTGTATTTCAAATAATGCCTTTTGAAAAATATGCTGTTCCTGCCAGTGCTGAGGGCATTTAGTCCAGGAGAGGGATTCCAGCTCTCAGATACAGGAAGCATATGCTCTGAAGCTTTCCGCAGCTGATATCCTGATCAACAGGCATCTCTCTTGTCCCTTTTTTTTTTTAAATCAGCTTCCCCTTGACTTCTAAACTGCTGAAAGGTGTCTTATATTTCTGTTAAGTTAGAGATATTTCAATACACATTAAGAACACTGTTGCCATTAATGACTACAGAACATATAAGCAGAATGTGATATCAGTTAACATAAACTAAGCAAATAAAAAATTAGACACTTCTTTTTACATGATGGAGATGGAATCTTTGTATTTAATTTTTTTTCCTTAGAAAAAGAAAATCCTGCCATAATCTCACTGTGACTCTGCAGCTTACTTTTTTGATCTTAGATACTGCCTTACTGAATTAGTGATATTTTTTCCTCTCCAGATGAGAGCTAAGTTACAGTGGTTAAAAAAAAAAAAAAAAGTGATTATAAACTACACAGCCCTACAGAACAACACAGCACTTCATAAATGTTTTTTGAAGAGATGACCTAAGGGTCAGACTTGACACAGAGCTTCACTGATCAGAAATATCAAAAAGGAAGACCACAGATTTCATTCTTCCTGGTACACTGAAACATATGCAGTCTACTCAAGTATATACCACAAGTACTGGGATAGTGAGACAAGCAACGGTGACTTAAAAACACTCTTTTGCCAGGAAACATTCCATACAAAATAATGTATCAAGTGAGTACGAGGTGGGGGGGTTAGGAGTATGGCTGTGCACTTACCTCTGCCACCCACCTCCCGGGTTATTTTGTCACCAGGACGCTCTGGCCTCCCGTTCCTGGTGCCCACCACCATAGGAAGTGGCGGTTCCTGAGGCACCTATGTAAAACACACGCGAGGCATCGCAGCAGGCCTAGAAACACAGCATTTTATAGGTATCTTTTTTTCTGCACAGAGGCATGCACTTAAATTCCTTGCTTCACGTGGGGCCAGCGAGGCGGGGTCACCACGGGACGAGCTTGCTGGGGAGGGTACCCCATTTCTGGCGCTCTAAAACCCTTCGCGGGGAGGCAAACCCGCCGCCCCA